CTCCACCGCCACCGTCCGTCCTTCTCCCTCGCCCTCCCTCTGCTGCAAATCGCAGCAACGTCGCAACACTCTGGTGCAAATCGCATAGCCTTGTTCATTATTTAATGGTTATGGGGTATACAGATGGACCTGACTAGAAATGATTTTATGCGCATACCCTGGAGAGAAATTATTATACTTTATTTGTTGGGAGGAAGCTATTGATTTTGCAAATTTTGTGTGATGATATTCTGGATTCTGAAGAGCTAAGAGTAGAAATTGACATGCGTGAAGAATTAGAAGTAGGAATAGACACTGATACAGGGACAATGGTTGCCCTGGCAGGTGGACCGAGAAGAGTTCATTATATTAGAGTGGGGTGGGTGGAGTGGGATTAATTATATTATATTACAATTAAATATTTAATTAATTAATAAAAAACTAATTTTTGCAATTTTCAAACTTAGCACCTGATTTTTGATTTTGGCAAAGATAATACCTGATACATAAATTTTTCCCATATAAGTATGTGTTCTAAGTTTTAGAGTTCACGGGCTTATAAATATGGGAAAATTGCCTAAAAACCTACATTTAGGACTTGTTTGAACTACATTTTTGTTTTTTAAAAAGAAGTACATTTTTGAATAATGTATTAATGACAAACGTGTGGTTAAAAAATAAAGAAATTTTTTGAATTTGAGTGTAATATTATTTTATTAAAAAATTCATTTAAAAAAAATTGGATGAAAATACTATTTACTAATGCATTTTTTTAAAAAATAAAAAATAAAAAAGGGGGCCAAACAAGGGCTTAAAGACAAATTTTCAAAAGCAAAGGGGGTTAATTTTCATTTCACAAATCATGCGGTAATTAGATTTTAATAATTATAATTAATAAAAAATTTAGTTAAACCTAACAGATTCACTCACGCTCCCCCGATTCATCTCAAGCCCTATCTTCATCACTTCCTCTACCTTTTCTCTCTTCATCACCCCCCACCCCCCACTCTTCTTTCTAGCCAATAAAGGATCAAAAAAATTCTACTTGTGGATAGAATTTTTAAAAGTTCGGCCTTGAAGTCGCCTATGACTAATAATGAATTAATTGATGAAGATTGAAAAAGGGATGTGATTTCATTGTCGTGGATTTAAGTTGAAGGTGGTAGTGGTGATGCATTGGAGATGATGGTGGTGGTGATCGATGGTGGATTATGGTGCTAGTCTACGGTATGTGCAAATTTGTTTGTGGTGACCCTCTATGACTAATTATGTGTTTATTGTGATTGGTTATGACCAATTATGTGTTGATTATGACTTGATCATCACATACAGTTACACTGAAAACAAATTTGGTCACAGTTAATCACAAACAACACATATCAGTGACTTGGTTGCATACAATCACAAATTAGCTGGTGACAAACAATCACATTGAAAACAAAATTGGTTATAGATCTAATCACAAACAATAAATTTGGTCACAAATCTGATGTAGGGTGTGGTGATTCGGTGGGTTATAATTTTCAGGAAACGTTTTAAATTTCCTGAAGATTTTTTATAAAGTTGAGGTAGGGTGGGTGGGGTGGTGTGTTATCTCCATAAACGATTTTCAATTTTTGTATTTTTTCTACTTCAGGGGTGGGGTGGGGTGGGGTGGGGTGTATTTCAACTGTATATATATTTAAACTATATTATATATAGGAAGAAAAATATAATAAATATATATATTAGTTGTATATTAATATATTATATGTACTATTAATTTGAACTAGCACCTGAATTTTGAAATAATTTGACAAGATTGTTAGTTTTGAAATGTGATTGTTATATTATAGTAGTTATGTATTGTTCCCTATAATTATTGCTACTGACACAAGAGAAAAGGGCAAAAAAATTTTACCTCGTCCTCTCTAAATTCAACCATCGGCCTTGATTTGTTAGTAGGGTGGAACTCCGATTTGTTCTCGTTGTATAGAATGTTATTATAGATTGGACATTTGAACAGTTGTGGTATGCTGAGATAGTAGTAGATCAGATTCATAATTTTCCCAACTTATGGAAATTGCAAAAAAATAAAAAAACCTCCTATCACAAATTATATCCAAACACAAAGGTGATCTGACTTTGAACATTGAAATTTATTTAATTTTCTTTGTACACGTTTAAGTAAATATTCAACAAATTGTTCTCTAATTAAACGAATTTGAGTTATGGCCTGCATTAAAACATGGGGAAAGTTTGATAGAGGGAAGATAAGATGTGAAAAAAAATTGAAATTTCTCTCATTTTCGGGAAAAATACCCTAAATTTAATATAAAGCAGCAAAGTATTTTCCATATGTATTTGGATATTTTAATTTTTCCTCTCAAAAAATCAAAAGTGCACAAGAATTTGGATAATGATAATAAACATAAAAAAATAGTTTAACCATGAACTTTTGATCATGCTACACTACATAGCAAATATTAGGCCCATGTTTGAGCTTCATTTTCTTAGAGAAATGTATTTTGAACTAATATTTTTTTAAAAAATATTTTATTTAAAATTAGGGGAAATTTTTGGTTTATATGTAAAATTATTTTACAAAAGAATATGTAATTGAAAATAAGTTTTGAAAAAAAATAAGGGTCCTGTCTATTTACCATTTTCAATCCGTTTTCTGTTTTCGATTTTCCAAAATAGTGAAATCGCGTTCACTTTCCTATCTTCGAAAGCAAGTTAAAAATTTACAAAAAAAATTCAAAACGACAATTGTCGTTTTGGGTGTTTTCAGTTATAATCAAACCAAAATTTTCAAAATGCGTTTTGAGTGTTTTCAAAACAATTTTTTAAAATACCAAAAATAATACATTTTCAATAATCTCAAAATAAATACTTAAAATACAAAATCCAAAATGAATTCAAAATTCAAAACAAAAAATTGAAATACAAAAAGAACAGCTCCTAAGTTTTTAAAAATATGGCAACCTAGCTCTCAAATAAAACTTGAATTCTAAGTCAAATCACAACGAAAGTTGTAGAAGGGCCCCCCCTCATGGATCGATATTACTATTTCAAATCTCTTTCCAATGAAGGCCAGACCTAAAAGCAATCTTCATAGCAAAATTTGATCAGTAGTACTAAAATCATGGCCTATTTGTGTTCAAGTAAGTATATAAATAAATAGAAGGACACAGTTCGGCTTACTCCTTAAAAATCGGATAGGTTTTTCAGAAAATTGTTAGAGAAGTAGAAGCTCGACTTACTTCTTTCAAATTACTAGTTGATGCACGTGCAATGCACGTGTTTGAATATAGTTGGCTATTTAATAGTGTGAAGTAATTGTTAGATATCCAAATTGCATTAGATTTATAGTTATATATTATATAGTATTCGAATAGAATAAGACAAATTTAAGACAAATTTAATGCTCGATGGTAACTAAAGATGAAACTTAAAGACGGAAAATATGCAATTTGTGTAAGCGTCCAATTTTCATCTGTGGGATAGATTTGTAAAAAACTAATGAATAAATAAAACAGCAATCCAAAAAGGTATCACAGATGATGATATTAGCTACAAATAATACACAACTTTTCCACTTATTGGCTAGAATAAATATATGTAAATTTTAGAGAAATTCATTTGTAAACATGAAAGATATTCAGCAGGTAAAAAAAATTTGCCAGGATCGAGCATGTGATGCGATTTGCAGGCTTTTAGCTGGTTAAGAAGAAAAAAAATCGCTTGCGTGGACGGGGACACATCCGAGATATCGCCGTGCCTCCATCCAAGTGTGGACTTATGCCTCCGTCCACTTGGACGGAGGTACCATGCCTCCATTACTTGGACGGAAGCATCTCATGCCGTCGTCCACACTTGGATGGAGGCATCTCATGCCTCCGTCCACACTTGGGCAGAGGCACCATGCCTCCATCCACATGGTGCATAGGCACTATGCCTCCGTACTCTAGCCTTCACACCCTATACCCTATACTCTCTTTACCTGATGATGGATGTCATAAGTTGTATCCAATCTAATCCATATAACAAACACCAATTGAATAACTGACTAAATGACATTTATTTACCCTTAAAAAATATGAAATAACTTCCTTCAACTCTAATGAAAAAATTAGATTTGTTTTCCCATTAATCAACTAAGTTAATAAATAGTACAATTAATTAACACCCACTAATTACATCCAAATTTTGTACATTTTAACTAATCCAAGGTAAATATATTCAACAAAAAAGGAACCAGTAGTTATGCAAGAATTTACCAAGTCTTGATGCCTCGTTTTTATCATTGAAAGCCTCGAGAGCTTCTTTGTACTCTTTTTCCTATTGCAATCGCATTGAGTTCCGAAAATAAGATGGTTTACGTCGAATTTACTCAGCCTATAAATGAAGTACACAAATTAAATTGTCATAAAACAACATAAATGTGAGCATATTTGTTGGATTTCTTGAAAGTAGTGGCAGATATTATACCTTCTTCTGGCAAGTCTGTCCCAGTGGTTTTAATTCCTTGTTCACTGTATCAATTTTTTTCCTAACAACAGCAACTTCTTTCTTCATAGGATCTGCTAGCCCATCTAGTTCCTGGTCATTAATTTACAGTTCATTCAAGAAAGTGAGCAAGGGCAACTGTTAATTTTCCATCTAATTATTAAAAACATATATTTAGGGCATTCATTTCAGTACTTCGCCCAATTCAAAGACAATCTCAGATTTATCATTTTGGATGAATCTGATATAAAAATACAAGACCATAAAACCAGAAAATGGCTAATTTTAAGGGTTGAATTAATTAGCTTGTAAGGTGAGAAAGTATTTATAAATGATAATATATAAAACGATTGTCTTTCAACTGAAAACAGAACTAAATTTTTGCACTTCTATAAAGATGATTCTTAGATTAGTTCGTTTATGCATAAAACAATAAAAGATAAAAGAAAAGCTGAATTGTTATTGAACTTAAAATATAGGAGCATAAGAGGAAGCTAAAGACCTTTCAAAATAGTCAGTAATTTACAAAACCTTCTGATTTTTATTGTACTGATGCATTGGTATGTTGTGAGATGTAAGCTTCGGCGTGCCAGAGATATTCCCAGGCCACCACATTCCTTCCCTTCTGAGCATCATCGAAAAGTTATTAAAATTCTTGGCAGATTGAGGATCATCATCGTTCCATATGCCGAATTTTGGAACTGCGGCACTTTTATAACGTGCCATTAAATATGGTCAGATAAGTAGAGAGAAATTCATTATTATATGAAGCAAAATTTAACAGAGAAAGAAAAATCCACATAAACACAAAGAAAAATCTTTTTTTTGTAGCAGGTTTAAATTAAATGTTTTCTAGAATCGTCATGCTTATCTATGGGAAAGTCAGTTATACATGCTATGTTAGAGCAAACTCCATAATAAGCAAACATATTAGAATGTAAAAGCACAAACGAATTGCAAAATATCAAATTTCCTATTCAACTTTCCTTTTAGCACCTAAAGAGCATAAAGCTTTCATAAAATTACAAAATTACATGACTGCAGTGTGCACCCAAATAATTAACACAGACAAAAAGAACAGGGGAAAATAATAATTTTTGAATTTATCACTTAAGTAACGAAAAATGAAAGAACCTAATGAAGGAGGGAATGATTTTGCAGACAAAAGAGTAAAGAAAATACATAATGACAAAAATCCGAAATATTGTGGGTGGAGCCATTGAGATGAGGAGACACAACAGCGGTGGAGCTATTGGTGAGGGCTTCACTTGAAGAGAGATAGAGAAGGAAAGGAATGGACCTGCGGTGGAGCCGTTTGCTAGGGCTTCCTTCGAAGAGAGAGAGAGAAGGAAAGGAAAGAGAAAGGGAATGGAAAGCTGAAGAAAGAAAAAATGAAAATAAGTTATACAATAAACATTGACTAACACTTAAAAGATATATTTGTTACAAACTTCAAAACTCATCACAGTATAATATTGAGGCTAGACCACCAGTAGAGCAACCAGAAAGAAGGGCCAGCAAATGAAAAGTACAAAATTACTTGGTTTGCATTGTGCATTCCATTTGACATTATGTCTTCAATTGCAGCTAGCCATATAAGTTGTCCTCTAAACTATAATCATGTATCCCACACAAAACACATAAAAAATCACTGTTCGATGCTTATGTATTTAAACAAAACTCAATAAGATAGAGAAAATTAAAGCACAAAATGGCACAACACAGTATAAACATTATACTCACTGTCCCCAGCGAAGGAGGTCCCATCACAATACCATATTTTTACTCCATTCTAGTTAAAAAAATCTGCATATGGAGATAAAAATGAGAAAAAATGCTGCAAATGAAACTTCAAACAGAAGAAAGAAGAAATAATGTTAGTAAGAAAATATGCTAGACTATCTCATAATGAACCTGGATTTTCTTCAGCCTCGTTGCTTAGAATTCCAGGCCCAGTGAATGGAATTTCCTTTTGAAGAAGTGTAGACGACCCACAATGTGTCCCTTTTGACAAACACAAGTTCTGATGTTGTTACACCATCCTATACCCTGTCATAAGTTTCACAAAATATGTTTCTCATGTGAATGAAATATTACTATATCTTAAAATATATGTACACGAAGTCAGCTATGGGCGAACATCAGTTAATATGCAAATATCTTAAAGTTTGAAAACAACTTATATAAACGAACATTTCCTACATATAAAAGAAATCGTCAATCATTAGGTTCCATCTAAGTAAACAAGTTGGACTATTTAAGATTTTGAAGTTCTAAATGAAGTACATAATTTTTATTTGAAAAAGTTACTTTCATTTAACCTAAAAATGAACTTAATCTCTCCTGTATACTATATCGCACTAAGATTTAATAAAAGAGAACTCATCATACATAAGTTGTTTTACGAAATTAGTAGAATAGAATTTTTGAAAGAATAAATGACCTCATAAGGCACTTTGACAAAATGTTTTGATAAATAATGGAGAACACAAAATACGTAAAGAAGATGAGTTAAATGTGCAACCACAGTGAAGAACATTTTCAGTACCATTTTGAAGTCAATATGTAAGGATTTTTTTTTAGTGAACGTGCCAAAGCTTCCTCTTATTATTATTTTTTTTTTTTTTTTTTTTTTTTTTTTTTTATCTTTTTTTTTTCTTTCCTTTTCGCCTTTCGAATTTCTGCCGATCTCCGTAAACCTAGTGTCACCCACTAAGAGAATG